AAGACTGGTTGCCTCTACACTGGTGAGGTTCAGAACTTCGGCGGACAGAGATTCTTGATAACATAGACTTCCCACGTTGGGAATCGAACTCACTTCTTTTGCGTGCTGAGACGATGAGCCTAACTAATACACCTCTGACGCCTGTACTCCTGAAGTATCAGAAAACCCTAAGAAAGAGTAAACTGCAGCTGAGATCGGACATGCACCTTCTAGATAATGCTACGAGAGTATTACATCATTACAACCCCCTACCCCCTATTACCCTTCCACCCCACCAACCCCTACCCATACATGTTTTACCTTTACGGGGATTTAGCAATATTATCTCTCGTTGATAGGTAATCAATACACGTGGTTGTAAAGAGTGAGGGAATTATTAGAATCAATCATGCAGGCTTCCTTATGTCACTTCTGCAGGGCAAAGCCCCCGATCCGCACCCGTGTTCGTTTTGTTTTATTTTGTTTTACTTCGTCTCACTTTTTGTAAGCCGGAGGCATACGCTTTCGTTCCCGCTATTAATTAAGACAGGACTTCGGATGGGTTCTAAAAGCCTAAAAAAAAGGAGGGGAGGGAGTGGATTGTCTACTACTGTTTTAATACCAGTAGTGCTGTGCACGACGTTACCGTTATGTATGTCGTTATTCTTGTGTGTAACTGGACCTGTACATATCGAGAGAGAGAGAGAGAGAGAGAGAGAGAGAGAGAGAGAGAGAGACAGACAGACAGACAGACAGACAGACAGACAGACAGACAGACAGACAGACAGAGAAACAGAGAGATAGAGAGAGAGAGAGGGGAGAGAGAGAGAGAGAGAGAGAGAGAGAGAGAGAGAGAGAGAGAGAGAGAATAATATCATCATCATCATCCGGTGCCTGGCCGACTGGCGTGGGCGATCATGGACCTCCACTTCACTCTGTCTTGCGTTGCAGCGATGATGTCTGTCGTTCTTGCAGTACCCAGCCATGTCGTCAACGTGTCCTGTATCTTTTCCCTCTGTCTGCCTCTGCCTCTCTTTCCATCAAACTTGCCTGTTGTTAAAATATTCTCCTGTGTTTCTTTCTGCATTGTGTGTCCAATGAAATTTGCCTGTCGCTTTTGTATATTCGTGATAAGCTGTCGTCAGCAATTTGCTTTAACCAAGACTTCTTCATTTGTTTTTCTAGCCTTCCATGGGATACGCAACATGCGTCTTATGAACCACAACTCTGTGATAGATGAGATAGAAACAGAGAGAGAGAGGGAGAGAGAGAGAGAGAGAGAGAGAGAGAGAGAGAGAAAGAGAGAGAGAGAAGGGAAGATACGCAGAGACTTTGGCGAGAAGCAGCGCGAGAGAAGGATAGAAGATGAAGTAAGACAAATAGAGGTGATAAGATCAGAGTACAGCGAGTTTGATTTTACAAACACAAGAAGTAACGCCGAGAGATTAAGGGAAAAATAGATACAGGCAGACAGAAGGACAGGGCTACTGAGTAAAAGAGAAAAGTATCCTGTGACGTGCGAAAAAACTAAAAAGACCGTGCTATCTTCGGACATGTCAAAAGCAGGAATTACTGACAATCGATTGATTTACTTCCTGTGGAATTAACTTTGATGAGAGTTTCCTATTTTGGTGCACGTGGCGGGGAAAAAAGAATAAGGTACAACGCCAGAAGATTGTACAACAACAGAAATGTCTAATCAAATGTAACGATCTAACATGCCAGGTTTTATGTTTTTATTGTCATTTCTGTGGTGTAGAGGACAGGAGTACATACACACTTATCTTTGTCAATTCCTTCTGTTCTCTCTCTCTCTCTCTCTCTCTCTCTCTCACACACACACACACACACACACACACACACACACACTCTCACACACACACACACACACACACACACACACACACACACACACACACACTCTCTCACACACACACACACACACACACACACACACACACACACATACACGCACACCCGCACACACACACACACACACCTTCACACGCACACTCTCTCTCTCCCTCTCTTTCTCTCTCTCTCCTTTTCTCTCTCTCTCTCTCTCCCTTTCAGTCGATCTCTCTTTCTCTCCCGCCCTCCCTCTCTTTCTATCTGTACTCTCATCCCCGATCCACATCCCTTGTATAACAGAAAGGAGGGAAGGGCCGAAAAAAAGACTAAGACAGATGTCGAAAGAGAGAAATTGGCAAAAAACATTAGAAAGAAGAGAAAGAGAGAGAGACACAGAGAGAGAGAGAGACAGAGAGAGAGACAGAGAGAGAGACAGAGAGAGACACACAGACAGGCAGACACACAGACAGACAGACAGGCAGAGAAAGGGAGGGTAAGGGGACAAGCAGGGAAAGAGAGCTGAGATGAAAGGAAGTATTAGCATAAATATTTCGCTTTTAATTATTATTCCCAAAAGAAAGTTGTCAGGGAACTGGGCAGTTCCTTACCGCTGCTTACTCGGAGACTGTGCAGTCCCATAGCGCTGCTTTGTGCACTGGGGGACTGCAAAGAAACACATACACACACACCTTAAGGGGGGGGGGGGGGGCTACATCTCCAAAGTCCCGATTAGGCTCAAAATTATGGAATTTGAGTTGTAGGCATTCTTAGCTTCCTCGGCCTCTCGTACAACTATTTCATCGTATAAGAACCCCTAAAACCCTTATTTCTTCCCATACCGGGTATAGTTGCTCACAGAAAGAAGAGAAGATGTAATACTAAAAATTTGTCTGTTCAATTTTATAAATATGGAATAAAATTTTGGTGGTGTCAGAAGAGTTGATTTTCACGGATTTTTTTTTGCAAACTTGAATACTACCTCGGGAAAAAATGCATTAAAAATGTTCTAATTCGTTTAGGAAAAAATCAGCAAACAAATTTCTACATCTAAAGTTTGCTAACATGCATGCAAAAAAACAAAAAAACAATCATCTTCCAAGAGCGATAAGTGAGGTATTCATTACGTAAGACATGTCGACAAAACCCAATATGGCCGCGTATCCATGAAAACGAAACGTTTTTCTCAAATTTAATTGCGGATTCTAAAACTCCTTACTATGCTTGTTATATGTGTGAGATATGGTAAAATTCGGTCTGCTAATAAGCGAGTTAGCCTTCAGGTGTAGCCCCCCCCCTCCCCCCCCCCCCCCCCCCACACGCACATACACACACACATACAGCAGTCTGCGATGAAACCAACCTCGCGTCGCCTAGTCACGTCGGCAAAGCTGGCCAAAGAAGGATTGCAATAGCTTGGAAGTACAGAATCTTTGGTAATACTAATACAAGGCCTACTACTAGATCTAGGCCTAGATATTATAGACAGTGACTGAAATTTCTTTTAATTGAAGAAGAGTAGACCTCCATGTTATGTAGTCTACAGTATATGTCATAAATACTACTAGATCTAGATCTAGATCAATTCTAGATCAACATAGCTGTGGACAAAAATGATAAATTCGCCTTAAATAGTCAGTGTTCGGCTCTAGATCTAAATTCTCGGACCATACTAATTAACTTAACTGGATCTAGATATGTATCAGCAGGATCTAGAAAATCTTGATCTACAATGTAAGAACTAGATCAATTACAATAATATAGTCTGCGCCAATTCTACTGGATCACCAAACCTTTCGACATTCGCCTTTCGCAAAACAAACAAAAAAACAGTCGGTGGCTCTACCATACTCATTAACTTTTTCAAACAGATCATCGTAACTGACAAAAACATCGTCAACAGTCAAATCAGACGTCGCGTTGTCAGTTTGTCATGGGAGTCATGGGAGGAAATTTAAATGTTGTTGATGTCTGATGATGGCTTGTTGACCTCGATCCAAAGGTCAAATGTTGTTTCTTTGCAGTCCCCCCGTGCACAAAGCAGCGCTAGGGGACAGTACAGTCCCCTAACACTTCCTTCTCAAAAACAGTATTATACTCTAAAGATTCCAATGCAGATATTACGCTTGAAAACAGTATTCCGTCTGTAAAGTATAGATCTAATCCTATCGATCTAAACAGAGCTGAAAGAGGCTCAGACCTTAATATGTGATTCAAAGACATAAAGGCTCAGACCTTAATATGTGAGTCAAAGACATAGAATTTCAGGCGCATACCCAACTGTGCACACTCAAAAATACAAACTGAGAGGACAGGTAAGAGCTAAGACAGGGCAGATAAAGCGAAAGGCTCACAAAATACACACTCACCCCCCCCCCCCCCACACACACAAACACTCACATACAAACACACACACACACACACACACACACACACACATACATACATACACACACACACACACACACACACACACACACACACACACACACAAATAACAAATACACACATACACACAGGTAGATATAGGGAGAGAGAGACATACACTGGGCGAGAGAGGGAGAGGGAGAGAGAGAGAGAGAGAGAGAGAGAGAGAGAGAGAGAGAGAGAGAGAGAGAGAGAAAGAGAAGAGAGAGAGCGAGAGAGAGAGAAAGAGAGAGAGAGAGACGAAAGGGAAGAGAGGGAGAGAGAGAGAGAGAGAGAGAGAGAGAGAGAGAGAGAGAGAGAGAGAGCGTGAAAATGAAAACAGAGACATTAAGAGAAAGAAAGGAAGGGACAGAAAAAGAGTAAAAGAAAGGAAATTCGAAATAGATAGATAGATAGATAGATAGATAGATAGATAGATAGATAGATAGATAAATAGATAGATAGATAGATAGATAGATAGATATATAGATAGATAGATAGATAGATAGATAGATAGATAGATAGATAGATAGATAGATAGATAGATAGATAGAAAGATGGTGGAAAAAACACGAGAGATAGATAGAGATAGAGTGAGAGAGGGAGAGAGAGAGGGGGGGAGACAGGTTGAGAGAAACAGACAGACAGACAGACAGACAGACAGACAGACAGACAGACAGACAGACAGACAGACAGACAGACAGACAGACAGACAGACATACAGACAGACAGACAGACAGATGAATCAAATCCGACAACCCTCTCACCTGTCCGAAACTGTATGAAGATGTCGAGGGCATAGACGAAGTCGCTGATATAGTCCAGGCAGAGCCAGAGGACATAGTACTTGCTCTGAAGCTCCCAGAACACGGAGCGGGCGATGATGAAGACAAAGTTGTAGAGGACCGCAAGGCAGATGATGAACAGCCAGCGGTAATAAAAGGAATCTGACGGGTCCACATAGAAATGTGTCCAGTACCTGAGGAGTGTACAACAAAGCACAGCTCAGTAATTGAGAACAATAATTAATATTTATTATTATAATAAATTCATTTTAACAACTCTGCGGTATGTTTTGGGTCGACTCTTCGGACGTCCTATTCAACATTGAATTTCAACTGTTAGATGATTTGTGGATTGTTTCCGTAGACTCGGTAGAACTAGCGTGTCACCAATGAAATACATGTGTCATAGAGAAAGAAATATTGTATTGTTGAGAAATCCAGAGTCAACGAGAAATAGTGTCATAGAGAAGTACGTGTGTGGTACAGAAATTTTCTGCATATTTAATATGCATGTCGTAGAGAAATATGTGTGAAATAGAGAAATACGTGTGTCGTACAGAAATATGTGTGTCGTAGAGAAGTAGGTGTGTCGTACAGAAATACGTACTGAAATACGTGTGTCGTACATTAATATGTGTGTCGTAGAGGAATATGTGTGTTCTGAAGACGTACGTGTATTGTTAGTCGAACTGGTTCTACTCGGCACATTTCATTTTCAGTCAGCGCTTTTCATTTATTTCGAAAGAAGGGCTTTCATTCATAAAACGCTGATAGTTCACATAACTTTCAGGTTGATGGGAGTTTTTTTCATAACATTTGCGGTCCTTAAAATGTCCATCTTTCTTACATGTAAACAAGTAAAGAATGAAAGTTCTCTTACTGTGTAAAAAGAGTATCATATGACAGAAAGTGCAAAGGCACAACGATGTTAAAGTTTGAAGTAAGTTCTATTAAACTAACCCCTGTTCCTTAACGTAGGCCTGAATATGCGTGCACACAATATTATGTCATGCCAAGTCATGGGTCGATGTTGTAAATGCGGGAAGTTAGAAATGGCAGGAGTTCTGGAATTCCATTCACAGTCAAGCATACAATTATAAACCAACGGCAGTATTTATGCACCTCTGAAAGCATACAATTATAAACTAACGGCAGTATTTATGCACCTCTGCTCTTTGTTGTTGTTTTTTCTTAAAGGCTAGAAGAAGATAATATGACAGCCCGAATTATTAATAGCAGCTTGATTGATTTATTGACTGATTGACTGTATAATTGATTAAGCGATTTCTGCAGCACATTGATTAATTTCATGTTTCTTGACACATAATATTCCCTAAAAGTTCGGTTCCCCCCTCCAGGGCAGCGCTACTAACTGAAGTTGTCTCTAGGCCATTCCCAAAGGGGGTATATTAACATGTTCTTATGCACAGTAGAATTGTAAATGGGCTGATTTATCAAGGTCACGCTCAAACTGTGCCGGAATAACATAGGGGGGACTGCTGCTTTTTCATTACTCATCCTTACTATCGCCATTTTCCTCTACTTCTTTTGTACGTTTGTCACTCTCTTGTGAACTCTTATTTCCTGAATGCCTTGATAGTCGATGCCGACGTTATGCTGTTGAGGCTGGAGAGGTGAGCAGAGCAAGCCTGATTTCCCTGTTTGGACTTCTCTGTTGACACCCACCACTTGGCGCTCATATGACTTTATGCAGTTGCGAGCGCCGTAAAACCTTACTAAAACAAAACTAAAAGTTCTGTAAAACAGGGGGGGGGGATCTTTTGCATTCTTCTTCCCCAATCAAAATAAGAATAATTAAGGAGCAGCTGAACGGTGGTGACGGGTTAACTCATTCTCTATCTCAAACCAAGCAGAAAGGACAAAGAATACATTGTCACTAAACACAACTTGTCTTTTTCGGGGGGGGGGG